CTGGAGCATGAGGCGGTCTTGTTGACTGGAAACATCACAACCTAGCAATTCAGCTGGGTTCCAGGTGAGTCACTCGCAAAACTAAATTAGTTTGCAAATGAGTGTGGTTCGCTGATTTCGTGCAATTTGGTATCAAGTAGAACATAAGTTTAACGGAAAATCGAGGAATGCGCCTACCTAATAAACCTCAAGAAGGACAAAACTGGTCGTGGGCTGTAGAAGAATTTTCAGCAACCTAATGAGTAGTGCAATACGTATAAATATATGCCATCTTTGCTTAAATAAAACTGCTAATTCGAGTAATACGTAGCCATACGGTCATATGACTTCTCCTAGAGTATGAGCTGATGAATGGTCAGCGTAGGGATTCTTTCCTTGAACCTAGTTCCAGTTCTACAAATTTGCTAACTGCTACGGATTCTTCTTGTGGATCAGCTAAGTCATACGTTGTAGAAGAGACACAAACAACCGGTACGAATCTTACGCCTCCTAATAAGGTCAAGTACGTGTAATACTAACGGTTTATGCCAAACCAACAGTTTTCCAACCTAGACTTGCAAAACAACGATTTTTCAGGCACTATAATACATTACTAACTCTGCTTCGTTGACAATGTGGTTTTGCTGAGGATACAGGTTGTTCTCCTTTCACCTGTAGGTGGTGGCTCAGTGATTAGAGGGCGAACTTACTGACCGGAAGGTTTCTGATTCGAACCTGTCGTCTTCCCCCGTCTAAGCTTGGGCAACCTGGCAGTATCCCAGCCCTCATGCTTCCTTCTGGTAATATGTCATTTAGACACCGAAAGGGTGCCACATCTGAACGATTCTTCTACGTGGATCTCACATTTGTGGTCTTTAAAAGAAGCACAGCAGAGCATGTTAAACTGCATTTGCCATACAATGCCATCTCGGTGAAATGTATGATGAATCTACTGCAGCGATATGATCATCTTCATGAACAGAAATACATATGCGTTACGGAAACTGGTGTCTAACTACCGTAGAACCATGAGGAAGAAGGTTCCAGTAAAGAACGAAATAAATGGGGAGAACTAGTGACATATTCGGACACCGTACCGATAAATTCTATTCGCAGTATTTTCTTATTTGCTTCATGTCAGTAATAATCTGTACGCCAGTCAGATTTTCAAATATGTTAGGAGAGCGTTCAAGCGCAGTTTGGCAGACTTCTCCCGAAGGAATGTCCAACACATCTCTTTCGAATCACCAAAGTCAAACTTCAACGACTTTGTCACTTTACTACGCCGGCATAATTATGTCTGAAATAGTGCCGGTCCCAGGAGGTGGACAAAAACATCGCACGATACGAATACGGTGTGTACTGATGTATCGAACTGCATTCGTACGAAACTGCTTGTGAACGACGAGCAAAGTTTATTTGTTTTGTTCATAACTACTTTCTCACGGTTCAACTTGACGGGTAGCCGGTATATAACTGCGTGCATCAGCCCAATACGGCATCTGTGCTAATGTGAAAATAAGAAACTAGAAACTTCATACTCCCACGCAAACGTCGTACGAAACTGAACGTTCTGATCGAGCTGCGTCATTTGGCACCGGCTTGAAAGACGAACAGTGCGTTCGTGCAACGGTTTCAGTCTTGAAAATTCACCTTACACTGAACAGTAATTACAAATGGGTTGGTCGATTTCATCCAGAGATGAAGAAACATCATAGAGTTCTCCTGACGGTTTCACATTAGACCATGGGCGGTCCAGTCTAGTCTCTCGAATTCCAAACATCCGTGCAGTCTCGTTTACTGACAGAATTTTAATTAGTACCATGGTGAAGGTAGGCTAGTTCCAGCAAATCTGGAGCAAAGTGATCAGAAAACAACTGTTCGGTCAAGCATGTGCACAGACTGCACTGGCCGGGTAACATTCTAAGCATTACGAATCATTAGCGAATATACACTCATCTGCAAACTAATCTGGTTCTTTCGAGAGACTCACCTGGAACCCAGCTGAATCTCTCGTTTATGATGCTCTCAGGCAACTGAATGTGTTGCACCAGGCCGTCTCATGTTTCAGTCGCTACGATATTTGAAATATCGCGATACACGTATATTTGTAATGTACTACTCATAAGGTTGCTGAAAATCCATCGATGGATTTTCAGCAACCTTATGAGTAGTACATTACAAATTACGAATCATTGTTTACCAAGATGGCTGCCGCTCCGTCCATCAACAAAACTGGACCAGTCGCCAAATTTGAAGATTTGATCATTCTTGGACTTGGGAACTTGATTAAATCGATACGTTCACGGAGACTTTTAGCATAATTAACTAACTGAGAGCAATGGTCAATGCCAGATTTGAAGATTTGGTCATTCTTGGACTTGGGAACTTGATTAAAGCGATACGTTAACGGTGACTTTTAACATAATTAACTAACTGAGAGCAATGGTCAAACCTAGATTTCGGTAGGCTACGCGACGTCATTCTTGGTGTGGCTATGTGACTGCGTTTGCAACCGAATGCAAATTAAATGGATGCTTTATAACAATTCCCTTCTGATCTGCCTGTTCGAGAGTCTAGCTAAGGGGTACTATAGACTAAGGTGGTGGAAATACGTGAAGATAATGAAGAATAATAAATAATCTGAATAATTCTGCCTCAATGTTTGGCATGAGCTTCCTAATTGCAGTGTGTAAAGTGTTGCTGAAAGACTGGGTGGGCCCGAACCCTAACCTTATGCTTGCAGGTAAGCCAATTAGGGTAGTAGACAAATTTGTTAACCTGGGCAGCTGTATCAGTCCCGGTTGTCTAGCCAAAGTTGATATTTCTATTGGGAAGGCCAGAACAAATTTCGTTGACCTGCTGCGCACAACTACGTGAAGGGTGAAACAAGCCAGGAGTAGTCAAACAGTGACTCGGCAGCGAATTATGAAAGCCATTAGCAGGAACTTTAGCCGCTCTGTTGATTGCAGCCTCCCTGGATGGGGATCCCGAGACGATTAGAGACATTATCAGACATGGACCGGTTGTGACCTCAGTGGCGCGCACACATCCAAGTTGTTGACTTCAATGCATAGCTCCCCTCCCCATATTCCCAATCAAAAGTCTACTAACACCTCTGTTTTTACGCATTCAGCTGCTGCTCCCAATGGGTGGCTATCTACACCACCTCTCGAAATCAGCAGCAAACAAACCTTTAGCAGCTACAACCACTGTGCGGCAGGTGATAGTGCTCACGATGACGATGATGAGGATGACGATGAGTGTACTCCTTTCTATCCAACTTCCTTCCCGGGAAAACCGTGTGTTCATACACATGCCTAGAGAACAAACGGTCAGGATATCCTGAGGTTCAAGCTAATTCAATTCATAAACGAGAGATTCATTTGAGTCTCTCGTTAAAACCAAAGTGATTTTCACATGAGTGTATTTCTCGAAAACAGTCCAATTTGGGTTCAAGTAGGACGTAAGGTTGACGGAAACTCGGGGACTAAAAATAAACATAAATATAAATCGTTCAGCTGTAACGCCCTTCCAGTGCCTAACTGCCATGCTAGCCCAAGGAAGCACGAGGGGTGGGATACTTCCAGGTTGCCCAAGTCCAGACAGACGAAGTCGACAGGTAGAGGTTGGGTTCGAACCACGAACCTTCCGGTCAGTAAATTCGCGCTCTAACCACTTGAGCCATCTCGCGGACTGCGCCTATCTGATGGGCCCTAAAAAGGGCGTAACCGGTCGTGGGCCGTCGAAGAGTTTTCAGCAACCTTGTGAGTAGTTTCCTCTATGAAAATATATTGCGATATCTCGAATATCGTGCCAACTTAAACATGAGGCGGCCTGTGTGCAGCACATTCATTTGTAGATCATCATAAACAAGAGATTCATTTGAGTCTCTTGTGAAAACCAAATTGATTTGAAAATGAGTGTATTTCTCTAATTCAATTATCTTTCTCGTATACAACTTCAGGCAAACGAACTTGTATGTATGTTCCATACTCTCCCACTTTCCAGTGATCGAAAGTGTCGAAGCCCGAACAAATTTGCGTATGGTTCATGTTTTATAGCTATTAAACTGAATTAATTGAATCGGGTATTCAAGGCTACGAAAGTGTGTCAGAGTATTTGTTGTACTTTGCTTTCACAACAGGTAACATTTTGAAACGAAGAGTGTTGAATTTGTGTCCCTCATTTTGTCTCTCCACAGGAATAGAATTCCCATCCCGGTTGAGTGTCATGCAAAACGGCCATGAGTCACGTGGTTACCAAAATGATATAGTCGGAAACCCACCAGACCATCCTTGGATTTCCAACGACGTCTTGGACGTGGACTGGATCCTGACGAATATTGTCGGATCGTTTGGTTTCTGGCAGTGGTCCCTCGCTCTTATCACGATTTTGAGCGTTCCACCCAGTGCAACGCTTCCAGTTTTCACAAACTCAGAGCCACTACACCGCTGCCAAATGGAACCTGAGGTTGAAAATTATTTTCTCAAACAAAACATGAGTTTTCATCAAATTGCAGAACTTATCGGCCCTTGGTTTAATGACAATCAGAGCAATCCAATACACACAGGCTGTCAACGATACGTCGCTAACTGGACTGACCTTGAGTGGTTGGCGCTACTTCATAACAACACCTATTTGCTAAAGAACCGCGGACTTGAACCATGCCCATTCGGATTTGTTCATCATCATATGGGGCATCAGTATCCGGACGGTGTGGTTGCTGAATTCGGAACGGTATGCGAAAACCACTGGCTTACACCACTTAGCACGTCACTCTATATTCTGGGCATGTTGTTTGGTTTGATTTCTGGAGGCTGGATGAGTGATACCTGGGGTCGAAAACCTACAGCTTTGATCTACGCAGTTGTGGAAGTTTCGGCTGGCATCGCAATATCATTGGCACCCAATTACACAATCTATACATTGGCGCGGGCTTTTGTCTCATGTGCAATCACTGGGAAACTGATTGCACTGACTGTTCTCCAAATGGAGATCACGCTTGCAAAATATCGAGCCTACTTTAGCGCCGCAACGTCAATCGGGCACAACTTCTTCAACCGTAGTTTGGTTGCTCTCTTGGCCTATTACATCACGAAGTGGAGGTGGTTGAACACGGCTGTCATGTGTCCAGCATTATTTAGCGTCCTTTATTTGTGGATTCCCGAATCACCACGCTGGCTGTACTCACAAAATCGTGTTGAAGACACTGTTGGTGTTCTCAGGACAGGCTATGTGAGAAACCGTTGGACAAAAATTCCCATAGAAGTAGAAATCCAGTTCAAAACCATGCTAAATGCAATGAATTTGAAGAACCTTGTGACAACCCGTTCAGAAGCTTATGCGAATTCGTCTTCCAAACAAGTTAAGAAGCGATGTTTTGCCTTTTTAAAGCTTTTTCGGGTGACTCATTTGCTGAAAACTACCGCCCTTTGTGGAACTTTATTCACTGGCAACGTCATGTGCTACTTTGGTCTCCTGTTTTACGCCAGAGCCATCAATCTGTCTATTTACTTGATTGCCTTCATCAATGCGCTAACAGCCATTCCGGGCACAATCATCTTTACCGTGCTTTATCGGCATTTTCGTTCCAGAAAACGACCTCTGATGGGCCTGTACGCCATAGTTGTGGTAGTCTTACATTCCGGGGCAATCTTCAGTATATTCTCAAGCCAGGCAGTGAACATTGTGCTGGCCGCGTGTGCCAATATTTCGTTAGTCCTGTTGGGTGCCTCATTTAGTATGCTCTACATTTACGTATCAGAGCTTTATCCATCGGAAATACGAACAAACGGATTGGGATTTTCATCCGGTTTGGGTCGCATTGGAGGATTTTGCTGCACTTTTATCAATCATCTACATCGAATCGTTTCTGACGGTTTCCCACTATGTATTTACGGGCTGGTGCTCATTGTGAGTTTATTTGCTTTGTGTATTTTGCCTGACACAACTGGAGACAATCTGCTTGATTTTGTCACTTTCACAGCTACAAATTCTACCCCTGTCACAGTTTTACCCGACCAACATGGAGAAACGAAGCATCGTCCAGCAAATGCGGACTAAGCAGAGAGAGAAATTGCATAGTTAGCTTTTACCTTTCACCCATTGAGTAATTTTTATTACCTGTGAATAGTTATTGCGTATTTTAAGATTGGTGGAGCTTTTGCATCGAGTCACAATACAATGTCAAATCTGAAATGAACATTGGCTCTTTTTTGAAAAAGTTTGGTGACAGTCGGTAGATGTATTGCTGGGCAACGCTTCGCTCTTGACACAAAAGCTTCGTCAGGCCAAGTGACTAGGTTCCGAGGTTGGTCGAGATTTAAGGCGGAAGGAGAACCAATCAGCTAAGTCAAGCTAAATCTCTGTTGGGTGTCGGCCGAGGGATTTTAGTGTGTTAGAGTGGTTGAACAAGTGTTGGGTCGGTGGGGAAACCTACATGTGTTTGGGTCCTGCCTAGGGTCTAGTTCTTCTGGTTCGGTTCATTTGATGGTTCCTCTTGAACTTCGTTTGAACCTTCTGTTAGTCTGTGTGGGTGAGCTAGTGCTAAGAAAGTTGTGTAGGAGGGATGCTGTGACCTTTGGTCGGTTGGGGTTTCCACCCCTACCCCCCGGTTTTTTCTAATGATCCTAAGTGGATCGACAACCACACCGTCACGTGTCAACTCGGCTTATCTAAGACCGCTTTCCATACGCTCGCTAGCTCCACACCCTCGATCCTATTAACGCTGTGACGCTTAGTGATTTCCACCGCCTCGGCTATCAGCCGTTGCGGTGTGAATCGCAGTCCTAGTCTTAAAACTTCAACATTCTCTAGATTATTCTATGTCCCGTGTCTAAGGCATGTACCGCCATCGCTGAGACTTTGACCAGCGTTTGGTATTCTTCTGCATTCCTTGATGGTTTGTTAATCCTTCTTTTATGCTCACCAATTCTGGTGTTCAATTCCCTGACTGACTGTGCCAGATGAGGAGATGGCGCTTCTTATATACCAGATGTTGGCCTACTTGAGCAACTTTTGTGCACATCGAAGCTGCGGCACAAGCCACGTGGTCCGTTAACGCACTGCACAATGACACCTCAGGCTTTCCTTTCGCCCCTCGCTCTGATCGCATTTTCGATTCACGGCGCAAGTGTTATGGGCAGACTTAAAAGGTCAAGTTTCGAGCCTGCGGACTTTACACTGTTGCATGTGACAACTAGTCCAACCTCAGTATCCCACGAGACCTCAGTTTGAAACCCTTAGAGAAAAATCCATGGTACAAACTCTACTGTTCCATACCCACTACCAGTCAGGTTCAAGACCCGTCGGGTCGAGTTTATTGTCTACGCGAATTCCAAGAATCTTGGTTGCAAACTTTTTATTATTGCATCCGGTCTTGGATTGTTAATTGATGCTGATACTCGAACATGACCACTAATCAAGGTTTACGTCACAACAAGCGACAGCCGAATGTTTACGTCTGATTACCCTTAAACGTAAACAAAGGATATTTCACGCGACCCATGCATGAACCACGCCAGCACTCTGAGCAAAATTTCGTCTCCAGAACAAAAACACTCCAAATGAGTAATCAGTCAGCATCCTGATGGAATTGTTGTACACGACATTTTGTTCGTTTCCGTCTGTCCGAGCAGCATGCGTGCCGTGAAATCCTGGTGTGAATGCTAATCCAGACAAACATCAAATGGAAACGAACTCACAGAGTGGGTATGTAAGGGTTATCAACAGTCCCAAGACCCCTTCTAATGGGATTCTATCGTTAAAGAGATAGGGATAATCTGACTACAGTCAACCCAGACTCATTCCCACTGAATTTCGCTAAGGAAGACAATAGAGTGGGAAATTTCCAAACAAACGTAGGTCCTAAGCCTCGGTGCAGACGCCTATCTAAATTGAAGAACACTCTGAACCAGAAGGTTCTAAGAAAATATCCGCCCATCTCAATGAGCGATACTCTGGATATGAAGAAGAGTAACCGCGTCCCAAAGATTATTACAAATCCCCTAACACAGTTGTTTAGACCATCCCTCGTGAAAGGAAACTTGCGTAAGAGCTGAGACAGTGTCAGTATTACCCCAATCCCTAATAAATCAAAACCTCACGGTAAAATATATCAACGAGAAGCTTCACAACATTACGGACTATTTGAAAAGTGTTCACAAGAGAGTTTCGGACCCGCGACTTCTTGGTTGGTAGTGTGAACGCTTAGTCGTTTGGCCGTGAGTGTCTGATTGGTACAGTGATTGGTTTTACCACAAAAACGACATCACGTGCTCATATGTTGACTGGCTTATCGGGTGACGACTTCTCAGAAGAAAGTTGCACTTGTTATAAGAAAACATTCTTCCTCTGAGCCGATTATTAATTGATGGTAGTGTGAGGAGATTTCACCAGACAAGTGAAGTTTTCCTGAGAAGTCCTCAACAAATGAGCCCATCAATACGTGAACATGTGATGAGATTCCGGTGCCTGAAGAATGGGCGTCGCTATATCCTTTCCTAGCGTTAGTTAATCGCAATGCTGATCAGCCACTCGTTATCGAACAGTCGTGAGTTCGAAACTCCTGAGTTTCGTAAAATGTGCATTGCTGATGAGTCTCAATAAGGATGAAACAGCCGTACGGTGTTTCTCTTTCCTTTTTAGCATAGATTAGGTTCAGTTGCAGAATGAAACCCCAACTGGAAAGTCGCACATTCGTTGAAAAGGTAGACAAGGAGTGCACGAAGTTACACGCATCGTCACGGAGTACGAGCCAAAGATGTACAAGCGCATGCTAATGAAACTAGCGATTGAATACTTATTCTCTAGGTCCTACAGAAAACGGCATCGAAAATGTTTTCAATTCACTGGGAAAAATGGATGGAAATCAACCCTGGGAGTGCGTTTTCCCGGACAACTTATTCCGCAAACTTACAGTAGGACGCGTTCAGCCTGACTGAGGAGTACTGGCTAGCGTTTGCACGTTTTAATTGGCGGTAGATGAAATGCACAATCAGAACATGGTGAAAAAGGTCACCACCAACAGTAAACAAGCGATCAAGTCAGTAGGTGGGCACTTCAAATACAACTATGACTGGCTTCAGAAAGGTCAAGTTAAGGATCAGAGGATTTATTGCTGGACAATATTTCGTCCTTGACATCATTTCCAACCAGCACGTGTCACTCGCACGAATCGACAGCAAAGTTCACACAAAATGGCCTCAGCTCGGCGGCAAAAACACTGCTCCTGGCTCTGCAATTTCGCAGCGAGCGTAGACAGCTAGACAGGCATATGCTCTGAATTTCACTCGAACGCCTGGTCCAGCAACGGTTGTGGTGTGGTCGACAGAAAAACGACCATTCCGCCAATCCAAACGCCGCACTGAGCGCGCCTCTGAGGTGCGCGATCGAGATTCTTGCAGCGTCATCTTCATTCCGATTGGCTGAAATCCCAATGAAGGGAACATTTCCAAATGGGAGGCGACTGAATGTAGGTTTATGATTGACCCAGAGGTACGCCACATTGATTCATTATGGGGTGGTATTTGAGAAAAATCACATAAAGACTTGATTTCCTAGAACATTTATTGCAGATGCTCCATTGTTTGTACCAGTTTGTCATAGCCCACTTTTGATGTATGCCATCGCCCATCTTGAAGTAGCAGTATCAAACAATATAGGAGTGATTAATCGGTGGTTGTTGTTCCACTTTTGGCCGATTTCAGACTCCTGGTATTTAAGCCATGTTTGGTGATAGATATTAAGTGGATACGTGTAAGATGTCCGACTACCTAAAATGCACCCTAACAAGACGTTCCAACATACAAACTGGTCTCATTAGATATAGGTTCCCAGAATTTTGTATGTCCTCTTATCAGGGATTACCCTAAGTGGTTGATAAAACCTGAACTATTGGGGCATCCTTTGCAGCTAACAGAACGATAGTGTCTGCTGTTAGGCCAAATAAATTCATTTATCCGTCATTCCTGTGCATTCAGGTGGATCAACCGTTGACTGCAAACTGCTGTGTGAGCAAAAAACGGAGGTATATCATTAAGTAAAATGCAACTCAGCTGGAGAAACAATGGTTGACTTGAAACAACGGCCCACTTTTTGAGGGACGCTTCAAATTGACCCGTAAAACATCTAGTAGCCCAAGTTTACAGAACTTCGCTACCTGGCAGTCTTCTCCAGCTAATTTATGACAACCCGTGTGGACAGGTTGGAATTAGGGACTAGCATGAATCAACCTACCTTTACAGGTAACACGCTTGAATTGAATCAAAAGAGGAACGCGTTTGGACCATATGAACGTCACCTGAGTATTCTGCGGGCTACTTTGCTGGAACAATGATCCAACATTTCAGTTTGACCCCATGTGGCGAAAACTGTAATTGAATTGAAAGAGGAACGCGTTTGGACCATATGAACGTCACCTGAGTATTCTGCGGGCTACTTTGCTGGAACAATGATCCAACATTTCAGTTTGACCCCATGTGGCGAAAACTGTATGTCGATAAAAGGGTCAAATGTGTAAGTATATGCTTCATAAACCGCTCGAGAAATGCTACCCTCCTTCGGCTTAAAAGCGCTAGATTGTCCATCCCATCTACGACCCCAGTTGCTGTTTGTTGCTTGGTACCTGCGTAACTAATGGGAGAAGCTGATGAAACACATTCTGGAAAGGTCAATGTTGCGGAGCAAGCAGTATGCACTATTACCGTAACGTATTTGAGAACAGAACATAGGTTGTTCTTCCCGGTTTAATTCAATCCCACTGATGAATTGCGCTTCCCTTTGGACACCTACGCAAGCATGTTTTGAATGCAAGGCCTGGACGCCTTGGTTGCCATGACGCTTGAGTTGTAGGAAAATGTGGTTTTAGTGTTAACAAAAGTAGAGAGACATCCAATCCGCATTTGGACCTGAAGGCAAGAAGGAATGGAAAATAATAAGTAATGACCAGCAAAAGGATCGTTACCAGAACCCCATTTTCCTAGTTTTCATGAAAGACGCACACTGGTTTCCACTGCCACACCACGTTAAGAGGGGGCTGAATTTAACCGCCACCCGCATAACCA